CAAAATTCCAAACCTGTCGACAGATTCATTTTTGTAAATAACCAATTCGGTTTCTGTCGTAAAAACAACGGTAAACATTGCCTTATTTTGGGGTCAATTTTGAGCCTTTAAAGTGCTCTAGCAACTTATTGTTGGCATATATAACTTTCATTTTCGGGATATAGGTTCTTTGGAGCAGTAGAAATATTATCGGGTACAAATTTTATATAAATTTAACAAATATTGAGCATTTTAAGGTAAAAAATTGTTGAAAAAATTTGCAAATTTTTTTCATTACCAAAATGCTCGAAAACCGCTTGAATGATTTTGTTTTTGTTTTCTTTAATCAAAAATTCAAGAGTTTTCCTTTCGTTTGGTATATGGAAAGTATTGGTTGATATCTTCTATATATGTTTATTTTATTCAAATATATGGGCATAAATGATTTTCCATACAAAATCACCTCGTCATCATTTTGCAAACACGTGCATATGTTGGAAGTGTGGGAAGGAGACAAAAAGTATGTATGCGTATATAGATTTTGTAATCGATTTTTTATCGATTTTGTAATCGATTTAGTTAACGATTTTGTTATCGATATTTTTATCGATTTTGTTATCGATTTTATTATCGCTTTTGTTATCGATATTTTTTTCTTAGTTTGTGCTTTCGTTTTTGACTTGGATATGCTCTTAACCATACCACGTATTCTACGTTTAAATTTAGCGGGTGTATCTCCGATACAGCCTGCAGACCAAGACGAAGGCGCTGGACTGTTCCTTTTTTTAGGTGCTTATTGATAACCTTGGTGACATATTTTGTTTATCAAAATTTTTCCGTGATTTTTGTTGTGGCTGATTGTTTGTATACAAGTGTTTTATACATTGAGTTTTGCAGGGAATGGTTTCAGTTTTTGGCCTTTGGATTTTCTGTGTGTTTCTAGAGGTCGTACTAGACCAAAAACTACTCTGGAGCATAAGCGTGGAAGAAACAGCGGACAAAGCTTTATTACCATTATTATTGTTAATGTAGCAGCATTACGTTCTAGCTAGATCTATTCAGCTAAAGCTTTAAAAGACACCGAAACCTTAGACTATTTATGTATAAAGTTAAGCACTTCGGATGGTGTTATGTTCCATATTGCGGATGGAAACAATAACCATATCCCAAGCTGTATAAAGCTAACTTTATTTTGCAGTGTCCTGTTGTGTTAGATATCCGGTGTTAGTTCCCGCACTATACCGGCTGAACTAGCTGAGATTAAGCAGTCGTTGAGGCACTCCACGATAGAAAGAAAGAGAGAGTTATAAATCTCTTGGGGTGATGATTTCAAGTGCCTCTACCGCAGAGTATTTTTGTTTCATAGCAGGGAAAAGTTGGGATCAGAGCCTCAGAACTACTTAGATGGATGTATGTAGGTGGCGGCAGTACAGCCTATGGTAACTTATTGAGCAATCATATGGTTTGATAAAACTACATAATTTGGGATAGTGTTCAAGACGCTCACTAAGGTAAACATCAACGAAGATGATAGAAAAGAATAAGCTTAAAATATCTACATACAAATTTTTAAAAATTGCATAACGCATTAAAATTAATGGGATTTTTATAGGTATTTTCAAATTGGTCTGGCTCACGTAAATTTTAATAGTTTTTCAAAATATTTTGGCAAACGTCTTGAAATATAATAAATTTTAGAATTCCGGTGGAAAACTCGCAACTAATTTTTTGTGATGCACCCTAATGTACCGTGGATACCACCTCAAAAGTAAACAAAAAAGTTCGCCGTACACCGAAATTCCGGAAAAAAAAATTGTTTGGGCGAGACTAGGGGTTGCTGTTTTGGGATTTTTTTTTAAATAGTTCTATTATAATGTTCGAAATACTTCCGTAGCAAAAGTTTAATAATTTTTGGTCATACTGTTCCCTTCCAGACAAGAACGCCAACCGCTAAGTTCGGCAAAAAAATACTTTTTTCCGAAATTGCCTTGTAAAAACACTTCCAATTTAAGAATGTACGGCGAACTTTCCTATTTCCTAACTAATGTATGTTGCGAATTCGAAGAAAATTTGATCATTAAAACGAAGTTTTAGAGTATCTAGACGAGTGGTCGGCAGGCCATAGCTCACTGAGCGTGTTTCACACATACATATACGAAGAGCGCCAGCTGAGCTGTTCATTGAACGCACACATTCCCACTTATTGAATCGTTTGAATGCGTTAGTATGCCAGTCACTGATCTATACTATAGTGTCAACTGTTGGGCCCTATTTTCTCAAATATATCTCAAATTGTATCTAACTTACTTATGCCTATGAAGGAAAGTAGATGTGAATAATTATCTATTGGTTACTTCAAACGGTTTAAGCCTAAAATAGTAATACACAGGCCTATCACAGATTCCGAGTAAACTGCCGTCGTGAAAAAAATCTCTCGTCACGAATTCGGGAGAAATGCTATCAGCAATTCCAACGCATTCATAGTTACATAGTTACAATTGATGATAGGCCTGACAGTTTTTATTTACTTTTGTGCCGAACTGACGCGTGCGCGCCACTTTGAACGTCCACATATCAGCCGCGCATTCAACAACAACACTCAACGCACGACAGCACAAACGACTCACCAACTCAAGCAAAACACTCTGCGCTCAACACTCATTAGCAACGTTGAATTTGCCGCCGCTCATTCGCACGTTTTTCAAATTTGTCACTCAACGCGTTAACTGTTCATTACGATTTGCAGCGGACAATTGAAAAATTAAGTACCTAATTAAATACATATTTACATAATAAAATAGAGTAAAAAAGTAAAAATTATTGAACAATTTTTAAAAACGAAAATTAAAGTGGCGGCAAAAAAAAATGCATCGACAGCTTTTTCAGTGAAAACGTAATGGCAGCTGTCGCCTTTGTGGTAGCAACAAAAAAAAACAAGAACACAAATAGAAAGCATTCAATGTACATATATATATGTATGTTCAGCTTTTATAAAGCAAAAAAATATATTAATTAATCTAGTCATCTTAATTGCAGCTTAACCAGCGCCTTTGATATCGGACCGGCTAACGTCCAACCATGAAGTAAGAGCCGCGCCGAACAATGCGCGCAATTAATGAAAGTGACTGTGAAAAAATTTTAAAGAATGAACCACAAGCCGTATTATCGCCAGAGCCAAAAGAATTAATTTAACAAAAAAAAACAGCAAGCGGCAAGCAAAACAAAGGAAATAAACTCAAAAAGTTTTGTTTTAGATCGAAGTCAACGAAAAGTTGAGGAATATTTAGAGGAAGAAGTGATTTGAAAACAGTGTTAAATGTGAAAATTAACAGCGTGCTTTGATAGAAAATTGAAAGAGATTTATTTAATTATTCATCAGAAATAGCAACAGTGACCCGCAGTGCTAAAGTTCGTCAGGTACGCCTGGGCGTATGAGTGACGTTCGTTAATGTGAATTTGAGTTTGAAATAAGCATGCAGCAAAGATGCAAAACAAAGCAAACAACACTTGAGTGAAGAAGAAGAAGAACGTGAGTTGAAATTCAGCCGACAATTATTGGCTGGAAATTAAAATAAATGAAAACATTAGTGAATACGCAACAGCATAAAACGGCAATTTAAGCGCACTTCAATATTAATAACAAGTGTGCGAATTATTATTTAAATACAATAGCAACGATTGTGAATAAAATTAAAAATTAAAAAAATTAAAATATGTACAAATAAAAGCAAAAGCAAAAAACATACTTGCCCACATAAAAACGCGCACAAAAAGCAAGCGCTGGTGAATAATATTGGAGCCTATGTAAGTTTTTTTGCATGTTAATCACAATCGATTATAATTAATGAATAAATTGTATAATTACCGAATAAATGTGAAACAGTTGTGAACATAAATAGCTCGTGATGCACAGAGTCGATGAAAGTTAAATGTGTAAAAAAAAACCAACACATAAATACTAATAAATTAAAATTAGCTTATGTATATGAAAATAAAGTACTTTCATTAACTACAGACAAAAATGGCTTAATTGGCTAAGAAGAAGCGCAAGAATACATACAAAAAAAAAAAAAAAACACCATTTACTTATATAAATACAAACATAATAATTTCAATTGCACAACCTCTACTATTGCGCCGCATTCGCCATTGTCAATTTTAATTAAGCAAAGTGTATTAATTTGCAGCTCGTTACACTAATTAAGGATAATAAGCTACAACAATATCTACAAAAACAACAAGCACTACAAAAACAACACGCTTTACAAGCAACAATCTACTCTTATCTAATGGAATCAGCTACGCAACGCTAGCGGCGTCTGTCGTGTAACCAAAAATAAATTAACATCAGCAAGCTAAGAAGAGACAAAAACAAAACGAAAAGTTCAAAAAGCGCACATACATACATACATACCTACTTAAATACTAAACATACTTAAGCCTCGAAAAGGTCACAACCAAATTCATGAGGCTCCTTCGCATACAAAAATAGCAACAAGCAGCAGTATTGAATAACGTTAGCGCTTACACACCCACACACATAGCGCATGCGCCCGCACTCGTACACTTCTAAAGGATAACTACTTACATACACATATATGTATATGTAGTTTATGCCATATGATGAAGAAGAAGAGTTGCGCGCAAAACAAAGTAAGTGCCACTAAAAGTGTATGTGGTCTAGTATAACGCGCCTGTAGCGCTTTTGTATAGCTTTGTACGAGTAGAGTGCGTAATAAGATACTCGAAATTTATGTATGTCAACTATGGGTTGTATAATCGCCTATTTGTATGTGTTTGTGCAACAATTACGTAAAATTTTTTGACCTTTGACAGTTAACGCGCGGATACGTTAATCTAGTAGTCGTAACCTCAAAAGGATACTAAATAACAAAGTAATTTCAAAAAAAAAACAGTACATAATTTAAAAACTGGTAGCTTAAAACGAAACCAACAAAAAAAAAAAACACAAAAACTGCGCATATGGAAAATGTGCAGCAGCAAGGGTCCACAAAAGCCGATGCTTATACAAAGTGAGCGTGAAATTGGCAGCGGCACCCATTAAAACAGTCAAGTGGATGGTTTGCAGCATATTAAAAAAAAAAACTTATTTAGGTAAGTGATCGAAGCATTTTAATTTATTGATCGACCTCATATAGTGCGAAATAGAGGAACATTTATTTAAAAAGTAGTTTGTGCTAAAACCACCGCCAAAATTTGATGTTCACTTTTTCGGTCAAGCATAGTTGTTATGTTTGGATTTTTTATTTATTTTTTTTGATAAATTTTTGATCGTAATTTTTTATATTTTTTTTCAATTTAATTTTTTAGATCATAAAAGATTTTATTCGATCATAAAAACGGAGTCTTCAAGTAATGATTAGTTTTGGTCGAAACCGAACTTTATACACCCAGCGGATGTATTAAATATAGTTTTTCCCCCCTTTTTCTAAACTACATGAAAATATGGGGCTTTCCCCGCTAAATTTTCTTAATAAAATAAAGGAACCAAGTTTGTAGAAATCGATAAAGCGGTTATCGAGATTAACTTACTTAGCGATGCCACGCTCATTTCCTAAAAATCTATAATAATCTTATTTCTTGTTAAGGTATTGTTGTAAACTTGGTTGTAATAATTACCTTGAAGTAATTTAACTATTGAAATATCAGAGTTTTAGTATTTTGGAAATTTACCGTTATGTGGGAAGTGGGCGTAATTTTAGTCCGATTTCAAAAATGTTCACCATAAATATTCTCTGTTTGTACCAAGAAAAATAGCTGCACCGAGCTTGGTCTATATTAATGGATCGGTCACCGATATATATGTATATATAGCAAAAGCGAGTGGTCTACATGGCCAAAGTCGTTTTTGCAGAATATACATCATCGCAATTTTTTAATAAAAATCTCCCACAAAAGGAAAAAATAACCACGTTTTCGCATACAATGTTTTCTCTAAATTAGCAAGTTAAATAACGAACTTGGCTTTAAAATGTATCCCAAATACAACATATGACACTAAGTAATAATTTATTTACGATTTTTTCTTCAGTATTTTATGAATACCATTTTATAGCCAAAGGAACTCCCTATGAAAGGAGTTATAACTCCTTACTTGTTACATTAACTCTCTCATATTCATATCACTGTATGCCATTAAAAATTATGTAAACATGTAATTTGCTCAACATGCCTGACAACATGACTGTGTTTAGCTGTGCCGCTGGTAATGCCTTGAGCTAAAAGTGTCACTTTTGCGTTTATTTGAATTGAACGAAAATGACACCTAACAGCGCACAGTGGCGTGTTTGATCAATTTAGCCGGACAAAATTCATTGTAAAAGTTTTAGATAATTCAATGTGGTTTAAGTTAACAGATGTTCGCTGATCGAAAAAATGCGATAATTTTATTTTTTAACTTTCATTTTGACATTTTTCTTACATGCAGAAGTGGAAGAGTTAAAATTATAAATATATTCGAAACGGCAGTCATGTTAACTTTTACGGGTTATTGAGTACATACTTTCAAAGTGTTCTTTAACTTTTGTTGAAGTATGCATTTGATAAAGGAGAACACTAAATTTTGATATCCTTTGGTAATACTACATCAAGGTATGTTTCTATATAAAATGAACAATCTAGAAGGTGACGCTGGTCTGTATTTTTTATATTGTTTACCTCAGGTATCTTGCTTTACATATCCGACTTACTTAGACTTGCCACGAGTTCGCATCAGTGCATTTTAAGTCATGAAAGGCCATAGGACTAATCAAGTTAGTTGCTTAAAGCTTTGTTGAAAAAATATTTTGGTAGAATGAAAACACAAATTCTTTCAGTACCCCGAATAGAGTTTATCGAAGTCTGGAAATCTGTTCCGCAAGCTGTCCAAAAAGATAAATTAGTTTGTTATTTGAGTGAAAAGTTAGCCATGTTAAAAGAAAGTCATTCTTTTGGAAATACAATTAGCGCAAAATTGTGTCAAAAATTGTTTGGAGAGCAGAATGAAGAAATTTTAATATAGAGCAACAGCCGACAGCTTCAAATTAAGTGAAGAGACCTCAAAAATACCACTTTTAACCCTGTACCGCACATGTGGTGCGCAATAGACCCTTCCTCGCCATTATTTACTCATTTTGAAGCATTCTACATTTTAAACTCATAAAATAATTTTGTCCGGCTAATTTGTATGGGTCGCGCTACTGTGCAGCGTCAGAAATGTACACAATTTTGTGTTATTTATTTCGCGGCTATTTTTGTACAATCACAATCGCCTCAGTTTATTATGAGAATTTGAGATTATATGTACGTAATTACAAAACATTCACTTCTAATTGACTGAGGGTACTGGATTTATATATTTTTTCAATTGATGTGGGAATGGGAAAGCTGAGATTTCCTCAGCTTTACATATGTATGTATGTAAGAAGTATAATAAAATTATATTTAACCGCAATTTAATGATAACAACAGAATGGAAATGACATCAGTGGTGTCGCTAGAGAGCAAAGCCATCAATAGGTATACTTGTTTATAAATCTTAATTATACAAAGAACAAGCTTAAAAGTATTTAGTTATAGCAAATATTTCAGTAAGTCTACACATGTACATACATACATACATACGTACGTTTTTTGTATACTTGAAAGGTGTAGTTTACTTGAGTTTCTGTTCATTCATGCCTGCCAACTGTTCCCTCCACCAAATAAATAAATACTTAATTTCTTTGTCATAACCATCGAGTATCTAAAATTAGCGCAGTCGGTGATAAGCATAAAAATATGAACATCTATACATATTTACGTATTCAGAAAGTCAATTCAAAAAATGTGACTTAGCACAGCGCAAAAAGTTTCCTAGTCATTATCCGCGCTTATATGCTTGATTTACGAGCAGTAGCGGTTTTGTACTTTAAACGACGATATGTATATACATTAGGGTGCCTCACTCTCCATAAAAAAAAATAAACGAATACAGTTTTTCCATCGGAAATATACAATTTAGTATGTTTTCAGACTTCAGCCAAATTGTTTCGGAAAAATATTAAGATTTATTTGAGTTGGACCTATTTGAAAATGTCTCCAAGAATTAAGTTTTTTTTTTTTTTTAAATAAAAATTATGTAACTTTGAAGAAGATTTTTTTTAATTAACTCACGTGATTAAGGTCTGAGTAAAAATGGGGAACATTTTTTTAACAGCATTAAAGTAATGAAAATTTTTAAGTATTATAAATCGGTAAATCTTAATATTTTTCCGAAAAATTTTGGTGGAAGCCTTAAAATATAATAGATTTTAAAATTTCGGAGGAAAACTCGCAATTTTTTTTTTTGTTGCATCCTAATGTACATACAGTATCACGATTTATGGAAAAGAAAAAGTTAAATTTGTTGCAAGCCACTGTGAATACTATTCACTAAGCAAGTTTTTCAGGAACCCAGTATAAACAGCTAAAAGATACTTTTAAAACTTTTTTATTTGATGTCCGATTTCTATAAATAATACTCCAATGTAAAGGTTTTGTATTAAGAAATGCTGCATTTGTGTCTACAGAACTATTGTCATCATAAACTTTGCAAGTGTATATTTAAGCTTCTTACTATTGAGTACAGGGTGCCTTTTCAGAAAAAAAATAATAACTTTAGTTTGACATGCCTGTCTCAATCTTTTCTGAATAAAGTATATAGACTTTCTTTTATACCTTTCTAACTGTATATTGTTTATAGCAATCGGACAAACCAAATAAAGAACTTATAAAAACCCAATTTGGATGTTAAGTATGTGGATATGTGAATAACGACCGCTTAAAATCAATCTCAAATTTGTACTTTCTCTGTAGAAATTTTGGGTCTATGTTATGTGGTTTGAATATTGTTAATTAAATCTAATGCGATCCACGTTTTTCATTTTCTATCTCATAAATTGTTTATAATGACTTTTGCTAAAATTTTAAATTTCAAAAATTATCAAAACAAATTCTATGGGACTGAGAAATATTATTTTCTAATTTTTAGTCCATTTATAAAAGCGTGTGGAATATTAAAACTTTTTTTTTAACTTATTTATTTTTTGATACTGTCTAATGTACATATGTATATGTAGGCACCCATATGTGCATATCATTATATAAATAGGCAATCATGTTTCCTTTACACCCCTTTTNTGGAATATTAAAACTTTTTTTTTAACTTATTTATTTTTTGATACTGTCTAATGTACATATGTATATGTAGGCACCCATATGTGCATATTATATTAAATGAAGCGCGCACAATTAAGTGTAGACTAACAACAAAAGCTGAGCGAACATTTTCAAAATTAGAAATATTTTCGTTCATTATATTTTCAACATTTTTTGCCTTGCTTTTTTACTTTTTTGATCATCCAACACAAGCTCGCAAATAATGAACGTCATTATGCAGATTTAATATGCCAAGCAGTAATAGGGAAATGATTTGTTAGAAATATTTGAATGCAAATAAATGTTTTCGTTATGCTATTTATTTATTTATTTATTTTATTTTTTTCTGTTACTTGTGGCGTCTTTAAATCGCTTATTTTTCACTTGCTTATCAGCGCCGCTTTCATCGCCGTCGGCATGCGCTTGTACGGTTTAAATAGAAAAGTGCCCGCTGGCTGTTCCGCCATACGTTTTCGTAAACATATTTCCACTGTTAAGCATAGTATTTATTAATAACACTGGTCTACAAATTTCAACTTTTTTTCTGCGAATAAGACGGGACCTGGTGTTTCTGAACGGATTTTTCGTGCTGAACACGAATCCGGGGTCAAAAATGTCCCATCACGTCACGTTTTCGAGAAAAAAGGGGTTGAAACCCCTAAAAACAGCGTTTTTGGCCATTTTCGAAAAATTATAGAGCTGAACCCTGACGTGGTACAAATTTTGCATATATCAG